ACCCATTAAGAGACAGAGGTGATGAGAAAGGAGAAGCCAAGGAGAGGCAGCCAGTGAGGCAGAGAGAAAACCAGGAGGGCAAAGTGTTCTGAAAGCTAAGGGAAGAAAAATGGTTCAGGGAAGAAGCAATAATCATGATATACCTGCTAAAAGATATGCAAGATGCAAAGGAAGAGTGGACCACTGATTTTAGCAGAGACAATGTYGTTTATGAGCTTGAAATAGCAGTTGGGTGGTGTAATTGTATTAGGCTTAGAGAAAGAATGGGGCAAAGAACATCGGGAGGCACAAAAGCAGACAGTCTTTCAAAGAATTTTGTTATAAACAAAACCAGAAATGGGATAATAGTTGCAAGAAGAATCAGGATCAAGAGAGAGTCCGAGTCTTAGCTGTCACACTCACTTGCCTTCTGAATAAAATGGCTGGTGCTTAATAAGTGTTCATTGAAAGAACTCCCTCAGGAAAACAGACTTGACAGGAAATGGTACTCTAGACCCATATGAAATATAAATTGTCAGATTATTCCTAGAATGATTTAAGCGACATTTGCTATCACTGRTTCTGAGCAAACTACTTAGAAAGCATTATGACTTTCTAAGAAGAAATGTCAGTTCTGTTAATATTCTTGTTCCAGAGAATAATGACTATTCTCTAAGTCAAATAAGTAAATTATACTCTTGTTCATAAAGAATATTATTTTTATCTAATTTGAGTGATAGTGATATGAAGGCCCCTGAAGAAGTTCTCCTTCTGTGAAATGAACTAGAAACTCATGWTACTGGTTAGATGCGGACTAGCAGGATATCATCTGTTGACAATCTAGTATCTTGTTCARGTTGTCAGCTAAAAATACGAAACATGGTTCCAAATTACTTCTTTACCAGTCTCACTTTTTGCATTGAATTATGAAAGCACATGCTTAGAAGCATATTCAAAGATGATTAGAGATAAAACAAAATGCCAAACTACTCAAAGAGGCTATAATTGTTCTTAACTGTGTATTTGATGTTAATGAAAGAAAAAGAGTAGTCAAACAAAACAGTTGTTTTGCATATAATATTATGCAMTTCCAAGGATAGTTACTGTTATTGTTCTGTAATCGTGAAATGCTTTTAACATATTTCTTTAACATAATTTCTCTAAGTCTTAAACATCAAACTCTCCATTTAAACTTGTTCCACTCATTTCAAATGTGAATAAACTTATTGAACACTTGTTTCTCATTCTCATGCTCCTAATGAATAATAACTTTGGGAAAAGTAAGAAAATCTTGCCTCCTAAATTATCTGGGTTGATTCTATTCTCCAGAAGCCTAGCTTTGAAAACAAACAAAAAATGTTATATTTATGTAAGTGGTAACCTGTATAATTTTATATAAAAATTATTTGCTGAATCCAATGATGTATCTTTTAGGTACTTGAACTATTTACTGAGTTATGCTTTTAATAAAATAGGTTAAGATAAATCAGAATTATCCACTTTTTTTCTATTTTTATCCCTGTTTTTTACTCTTCTTTGTGTCARTTGCTTTTACCACCCCTTGTTAGATCATGACCTGTAGTGCAATGCTTTCAGAGTACCTCACAGAACAATAATTCTGTAAGATGCTTCTTCAAAGATGGTCAAGGAAATGAGGCAAAGAGGCTGCTTGTCCCATCCTTACAGTGTTATAGGCACAAGTGCATGTTAAAATCTCTGCAATGAAAACTCATAAAAATTCTTGTTTTTATTTATTCTGAGAAGGGTAAAAACACCAATCATGGCTAAGCCAACAATTCCAAATTTATTTGACCACAGTATACTTTTTGTATGTGATATATTAACATCCAAGAGAATTTCCATGAGAAAAGTTGATACAATAGGAAAGGCGATGGCCTTAGAAACAGAGATTCTACCRTCACCTAATTGTGAGTTTGGGCAAGCCACTGAACCTGCATGAAGGGTTAATCAATAGAGAAATGGATAAATAAAATGTGGTGTATATACACAATGGAGTTCTACTCAGTCACAAAGAAGAATGAAATCATATCATTTGCTAGTAAATGGATGCAAATGGAAAACAAGCATCATGCTGAGTAAAATAAGACAGACTCAGGAAATCCAGGGTTGAGTGTTTTCTCTCATCTCTAGAAGCTATAGAGAAAAACAGAATTTAAAAAGGGGCAGGGAAGATCTCATAAAAACACAAGGGAGGCCAGTAGAGTTGAGGTAGCAATCAAGGTGAGGGGAGGAAGAGAGGAAAATGGAAAGAACAGGAATAAAATTAACCAAATTGTGCTATATGCATGTATGAATATATCACAATGAACTACACTTTTATGTGTAATTGCAATTCACCAATTATATATATATTTATACTTATATATATATTTATATATATATATTTATATATATGTGTAATATATTATATATGTTAATATATAATATAATATATATTATATGTGTAATATATTATAAATATGGATATATGGGAAGAAGAATATAGAAAGGGGAACAGGAGGAAGGGGATGGAGGAGAGGAGGCAAAGGAAATTACTGGGGAATTAACTGGAGCAAATATGAATATGTATAATTATAATGCACCAATAAAAGCATAAAGGGTGGACTTTCTAAGTTCCCTTCTCCTTTTTACATTATTTTCCATATGTATTGAAAGGTAATGTACTCCCATGAAAGTAATCTACTCCTTTGGGTAATTTCATTTGCACACTCTCCTCTATTGTATAAAATATATTTTGACAATTACATGGTCAAGTACTCAAAAATGTACATATCTGAAATAGTTTTCTCTGGCCTTCATATCCAATTGCTTACTTAATATGGCCATTTAGACTTGTCATAGGTATCTCCACCACATCCAATTCATTAGCAAGTCTGCCTATAAAACCTATTCCTAACCCACCCACCTCTCTCCATCATTACTATTTTGAGCCATCATCTCTAATTGGACTATGCAACAATCTCTCCTTGAGTAAAGATTAGCAAAAATGCTTTCTCCTACTCTAAGGACAAACTTGACTGGGGATTAATTTTCTAGCTCTGTTACCCAGGAAACCATACTAAGGTATAATGTCATCCTGGTTCTAAACTTATGATAAATATGACTCAAATGGTAAAATACGTCTATATTAAGAAAATCTAGATATGAACTCTAGGTGCCTTGTAGGAAACCATAGCACTGGGCTTCCCTGTGGACAGTGACTCTCATAAACGAGCATGTCTTTAGCTGGGAAGTAGAGAGCAGTGTCCAAGGACTTGTTAGAGTATTAGCTCACAGGAGACTCAGCTTCTAGCCCATTGCTCCTATTGACCTGTCTCTTTGCAGCTGAGTTTTCACTTCATGAGGAGGAGACACAAGAGACAATTCCCAGGTCTGCCATATGAATTCCTATAAGGGCTTCCAAATTAGAAGATTACATGATACTTCCCTGCTTGCCTGCTGAAGCTTCTTTACTGGGACACCTCTGAGTAGAATGGTACCAATGTGTTCTTGCAAGTCTAAATGTTTAATTTGGCCTGAAAAGATTTCCTAATGAGGATTGCTTCACTGATCCCACTATTTAAATTATTGCTTCCCTACAATCCATTTTCCACATAACAGAGTAAATATTTTAAAACACCAAATGAGATTTCACTCCCCCATTTGAAATCCTCCCACTCAAAAATGAAAGTTTATTTCTTTACCCAAATTTCTAAAATCCCACAAGATCTACCACTGGCTCATCTCTCCAAAGTCATCTTGTAGAACCTTCCCCATCATGTGCTTCCCTCAAGCCATGGTTGACCAGTCCTTATTTCTTGACAACATTCATTTGGTTCCACCCTATGAGTATTTTACCAGCTGCTCCTTCTGCAGAGTTTACCTCTTACCTCCTGTCTTCTGGTAGCAGGATTATTCAGTTATTCAAAATATAGAGTTGTTCTTCAGACTTCAGAGAGGGTTTCCCTAATTTCTCCTAAAACAGTCACCCAATAACTGTACCACACCACTAATTTAGTTCTTTGATTCTTAATTTATATATTTCTTTATACATAATCTAAGTCTCCTGTTGCAATATAAGATGTAGGACAGCAGGAGTTTATGACTGCCTTACTCACTTGTATACCTCCAGCTCTTAGAGTGTCTAGCATGTGGTAGGTACTAAGATGAATGATGGATCAAATAAATAGTAAGAGTGGAGGTAAGAAAAGGCGTTTTGAGACTTTCTAGTTTTCTGGGATGCCACCCTCTGTCACTTCATGCTGATTTGTTATAAGGCATCATTGTCCTCCTGTGAGGTTTACCAAGTTGTAAGAGGTAGATGACTATAGATAATGAGGAACCCAGGGCCTCATGCATGCCAAGCAAGTGCTCTAGCATTAAGCTTCATCCCCAGTTCTAATCTTTATCTACACATTTAAGTGAAGGGCTTCTTCTAATACTTTTATTGAAAATACATGTTGTAGTTTAGATATTAGGTGTCCCCCAAAAGCTCATGTGTGAGACAATACAAGAAGGTTTAGAGGTGAAATGATTGGGTTTAGAGGTGAAATGATTGGGTTCTGAGAGTCTTAACTCCATCAGTCAGTTAATTCCCTGGCAGGGATTAACTGAGTGGTAACTATGGGCAGGTAGGATATGAATGGAGGAGATGTGTGGATGGAGTTGTATTGGGGTTTATATTTTGTCCATGAAGGGGGGTGCGCTCTCACTTTCTCCTTCCTGGTGTCATGTCCCCAGCTGCTTTCCTCCCCTACACTCTTCTGCCATGATGTTCTGCCTCATCTCAAGCCCCCTTTCTATGGACTAAGAACTCTGAAACTGTGAGCCCCTAAACAAACTTTTCTTCCTTAAAATTGYTTTTGTYGGGTCTTTTGGTCATAGCAATGAAAAAGCTGACTAAAACAATATCCTTATTTTTATTTTCAAAAGCCTAAACTCAGGAAGCAATAGGAACTGTATGCAAATAATAGAGAAAGATCCAAGATTTTCCATCTTTGCTTTGACAGCTCACTGTTTTCTTAACTTGTTCTACTAGTTGAAAAATGATTCACTTTAAAAARTTTCATCTGGAATTGATAATAAACTTCTTCAGTAGAAGGAGTGGAAGGACTGTAGAATATGACAATGAAGCAGAAGCTTCCAGAATTATTGGCTAAGGAATGGGAGAAAGAAAATTATTTCATTTCTGAGTGCTTCTCAATCAATTTTGTATGTTCCTTAAAGGGAGGATCATTTTTGTTCAACTCTATTTCTATTAGATCTGTGTATGATCACATACATTCAATAAAGAAATAGAATATTATTTTCCCATATATACTATTAAATGAAAAGATGAAATTTTTGTCTTCTCTCAGAAAGCCAGAAAAATCTACTTAGCTTTAAACAAGACCTGAGAGGTTTTAGAAAACAAAACCAAACAAACAAAAAACGAAACAACAACAACAAAAAGCCAGGAGTACTGCTGATTTTGCAAGGATTAAGAGCACTACCTTCTTTCATGGAGAGGGCCTCCAGTTTGAGGGGCAAATCAGAGGTTCCGCCAGTGGCAGCTGAACTCTGGATGTCTGGTAAGGCATTGCGGCGGCCTGTCCTCGCTGAAGATGCAAAATTGGTGACCACAGACTCCACATCAGTCATTTTTGATGAATCTGTCCTCATAGCAACATCTACAAATAGAATAAACACAAGAAGAAGATGAGCCTGTTCAGAGAGCAATGTTCACCACAGTGGTCCAAAGGCATGGCTAGACCAAAAACACAATGAGCTAGCAGATCTAAGCACCACTTACACCCTCAGCTACGTCTACCACTTTGGTCCTGGAGCTTCCATTTGCTGAACAGAGCAGGAAGTCCTCTGCAGGAGCCAGATTACTATAAATAACTCCTGAGCTGAATGAGCCACTTGGAACATTAGGGTGCAGTAGGCCCTGCCTTTTGTTCTGCTTTTCTATGGATGGATCAGCCAAACCAGGTCTTGGAAGGAAATGAAACTGATTTGTTTGGCTGCTCTCAGAGAGACTCTGCCTGCCAGTATTTGCTTGTGGTGCTTGTTTAGGCTGAAACCAAATCACTATAATTGTGGGAATAAACAAAACAGGCTCTTTTCTTACTCTTTGAAAATMAGAAATTCTACTTTCTCTCAAAAGGCTCTTTCCCACAGAGAGCTGTGTACTTCCATCTGTTCTGGCCTTGAAGCCARTTTTCAATAGACTCATGTTTATGTTAGGGAGAGTTAGGACCTCTTTTACTGTCTTGCCCTCAAGTGGACATGGTAATTGCTAGTACTTTTCTCAGCATCCATTATTTTCCTGGGAATTGTCCTCAAGAAAGAATTCTCAAGAGATCAACATGAATACAAGGAGGGAGGGAAGTGTCATGGCACATTCAAAACTGATCCTCTTTCACATGTTTTTCCTCAAAAAAAGTTTTCCTAAAAAGTTAACTTGGAATAGTATTTCAAAAGCAAAAGCATTTTTAAAGAWATTATCATATGTCATATTTTTAGCCAGGCACTGAGAGCACAGAGGTATGATATACTATCCATCTCTAGGTTCATTTGCACTCTTAAAGGGGAAAAAGAAGGTATGTGTGGGAGGAAAGGTTACATCTGTTCACAAAATGGCCTAAGGATCAAGAAAGGGATGGAGTTCAGCATTTGTGGAACTTAGGAACATGTGATTCCTAGCCTACACAAAGGAAACCAATCTTTTCACAGTAGTTGGAAGGGAGTCCTTTCCAAATAGCTACCTTCAGAAAATGCTAGAAACAAAGTGATGTAGTCACAAAACATGATGCATTTGATCCAAAGCACCTTAAAAAAAATGTATACTGAGCTTAGCATGGTCCTCAAGAAGCCAGGAGTATCCTGAAAATGACCAAGAAAAGAGGCAGTCCATTACTACTTTAGATGTTGTCTTCTTTTTCCAAGGATCATTCAGACACAATCTCAGAATCCATTAGATTTTGAATTGTTTGATACTTGCCAACTGTCCGGCATGAACAAATAGATTGGAGTAATGTAAAGAGCACTGGGCTGTTAGTCAAAAAGAATTCACTCCGTTATACACTTGTAAGGCAACAGTGGTCAGGCCATTTAATTTATACAAGTCACACTTTTTTTTCCTTATATATTAGGCATAACAATTGACCTTTATGGCTCATAGGATTCTGCTAAAAAACAGATGAGATAAGATAATAGAAACTCTTTGTAACTATAAAAATGTTTAACATGTTTGATTTTTGACATGATTATTTATATCTTACTACATTCTTTTTATTCTGTAACCCTTCTTTTTTGGGGGGTTACCAAGGATTGAACTCAGGGGAACCACTTGACCACCAAGTCACATCTCCAGCCTTGTTTTGTATTTTATTTAGAGACAGGGTCTCACTGATTCGCTTAGCATCTCAATTTTGCTGAGGCGGGCTTTGAACTACTCACAATTATCCTGCCTGAGCCTCCTGAGCTGCTAGGATTACAGGTGTACTGTGCAATCCTTTTATGGATGCTATTTAATCTTAACAATAAGAATCTTCCTACTAGAGACCTTGAGTTATTTTAAGAGGGAAACCAGCATTTTTTTCAATACTGCATGAACACTTATATTATCTATTATCTGATTTAAACCTCCCAATAATTCTATGAAGTATAAAATATGACCCTCACTTTGTAGCTGTAAAAACTAGGGCTCAGAGAGGTTAAATAGTTCATTTAAAGTTGCATAGCTGCTTATCTGGCATTAATGGCTACAAATCCAATTTCAATTCACTCTGAAAGAAAAATAACATGGATTATCAAGAAACAATCTTCCAAATCCCCGTGATATATGAAACTAGTCATATGTACAGTTCCTTTAGTATTGTGCTTTTCATTGACTTTTATAGGAAAATGTGTGTGTGTGTGTGTGTGTGTGTGTGTGTGTGTGTGTGTGTTTAATTACAGGGGGTATGGAAAGAAAGAGAGATAAGTTTCTAAATTACTACCATTTCACATGTTCTTCTCTATCTTATTAACTTGTGAGCCCCTATAGCCATGATACTTGATTTTTAATTAAGATTTCTTCTCTATGGCTTCCGACAAGTGACTGACAGTGGTTTGGAAGCAGACTCCATATTTAGGCCTCCACTCTGTCCTCAGTTAACACCACATGGTACATTATAGCCTTGAGCAAGTGTTTATATATGTGAAGCATCTCCTTGTGTAACTCCAAACAAGTTAACCATGATAAGCTTGGAAGAGCAGTGTGATAACTCAAAGTCCAAAATCTTAAAACTGAAGACAGCAATGTAACAGTGGTCCACTTTATGCTTTGAATATAACCGTTGCTGCTCTGCCACTGCAATTTATTTTTACCTTTCTTCTTCATCCTAGGCAGAGTTATCTGTCCCTGAGTACACACCCACCATAGTAATCTGAAGTAATCCAGACTTTGGGGATGGCACCAGAAGACCTCAGAATTGACTATCTCCCAAATGAGCAAGTGAATTACAACTCCAACAGAGAACACGTGAACTGTTGCCTTTGAGTCACCTCTTTAAAAGCCCCCTGTTCCTGCTGATGGACACAATCACAACCTCTGGGACTGAAGTCCCCTATGTTTCTGCTTTGCTAGCAAAGCAATAAATCTTCTTTTTACTTTTTTCTCAAAACTGTGTTTTTGGTATTYGATTGGTACCAGGGACAAGGATAGAGCTTTACCAATAGCAACAGATATAAAAAAATTAAGATGCTCTATTTTAAATATTTAAATGCTCTATATATGAAATTAAAAAGTCAATTCCTTGAGCAAGATGCAAGTTAAAGGAATATAATCTTATGTTGAAAAAGAGCTTCTAATTCTCTTTGTGTTTTGTATATTGGATATACAAATTTCAATTTGTATAGTGTAATTCTTAACTGGGATATTTAAATTTCTTGATAAKGAGGTTTATTAAAGCATTGAAAATAATGTGAAAGTTCAATAGGAAAAGAATGTGAATGAACTACATATACTGTGCTATAGAATTTTTTACAGCCAAGTTAAAAAAAACGTGTTAGATCTACCTATGGAGTTGTGTCCATGACACACTGTGAAATAAAACAAATTTATAAAGAAATGTTTACAGTGCAAGGAAAAAATGAGAAAAGAAATTAATGTAATGTGATCTCAATTTTGTTTAAAGAATAAAAGTCCTATTTGTGAATGATAAATAAAACAAGGAGAATATGAATGAATTTCTTGTGCCTTTTATGCATTTTGACTTATAATCATGAACACATCTTTTGTAATATAAAAATATTAAAGATATTCACTGGTAAAAATTGTGARTAAACAGAAAATCTAGTACAGTAAGGCTCTAACAAAATATTTTGACAGTTTAAGCCAACAACAGCACTTCTATAGGTGAAATTCTCTCCCTCCCTTCAATAGCCATCTTACTTGTGTGCTGATATTTTCCTATACAAAACTGGTTGTGAATGCTTTCAGTTTTATAAAGGTGATGCAAATATAGAGACGATTTTTTTTCTTCAGATGTTTTGTGACATTTGAAACCTATAATCCATAGAAATACAAGGGAACACTATTAAGAAAATTGAAGAGAGAATAATTTCCAGGCTCTTTTAATTTTCTGGGCTGAAAAAGGTAATCATGTGTATGCTTGCTAATGAAGGCAGCTGACTCACTAGCAACACTTCCTCTTTCCTTTCACAAGATTCACAGAGGAATCTGGATGAATTCTGTTTTGTCAAGGGTGGTTGCTCATGGGAGCTGGAACAATTGGACACTTGGTGATTTCACAGAAGTCCTGTCATTCCCACAGCAAGGTAATGTAATCTACATTGCCTAGGACACACTCCATCTGCATTAAAAACACAGGTTTCAGGATGCCTTAACAAAAGACCATTACATAGCCATTACTATGCATATGCCAACCTCTTTGCAGTCCCTGAAACATGTTAAACACAGCATCAGCACAGGTGAAGAGGACAAGAATGTTCAAGCTCAACAAAGTACTGGAGATACACATATCCATGTAGGTGGATATGGACAAGGATATCAGATCACTAGTCAGCTCCCAGTGGGCTCAGAAAAAGAGTATGTCAGTATGTTGCAAGCATAACTATAACAAATGGAAGTTTTTGCAGTCTCCCAATTGAGGCAACCCATTTCCATAGCTCATATACATGCTTTCCTCTAATGTCCTTACTTGAAGCCAAGACTGCGAAGAGGCAAGCCTACATGACTACATTCATTTCTCATCTCATCTCCCACAGTGAAATCACTAACTGTAGTAGGACATCAAATAAACTTCTTACCTACTAAATTTGTTCTCTAGCAGGCTATTTTTAAAAAGAAAAAAAATTGGAATAACAAAAAGGAAAAAAAGAAGAAACATGTATTTGTGGAAAGTCAGTGCTTTTCTTGGTCAAAGACAGAGAAAGATAAGCAGACAATGGTCTCAGATGATAACTAGAGGACTGATGGTATAGCTTAGTGGTAAAACCCAGGCTTAGCATGTTCAAGGCTCTGCGTTCAATCAATTCAATCCACAGCATCAAAAAAGGGAGGGAGGGAGGGAGGGAGGGAGGGAGAGAGAGGGAGAGAGAGAGAGAGAGAGAGAGAGAGAGAGAGAGAGAGAGAGAGAAAGAGGGAGGGAGGGAGGGAATGAAGGAGAGAAGAAAATCAGATGCCTATCTGTAGCTCTTCAGCTCTTAATATCTTAACACCTTATGCTGGATGTGTTCTCTGCCTAAGGATCATAATTTTGTATGATTTTGTGTTTCAGAATATCTACAACTCTTCTAAACACAGTGAAAGGACTAGAACAGTTGCATCTTTATGTGTCAACATAATCAGATGTATTTATCCATCTAGTTAACGTTGATGGAAATCCTAATAAATTATTAAGTGCAGAGTCCTATGCTTGGCCCACAAATTACAAAGAAGAACCCACCATCCAGTAAGATGAAATTTAATCTGTTCTTTCCAGTTACTTTTCTTGACCTGCAATTCCAATTCCCAGTCTTTAGAAATAAGTAAAATGTCCACTCCTAAAATGTGAATCTTTAACATATATCCAATTCAACTAAATAGCAGGACCATTTTAGGCTAAACAGAGATCATAATAAATATACATGTGCATAAAAATATTATTTTTAATTTAGAGACATAGCTCTTTAAGATTTCTCAACATATAGTATTTCTGAGCTTCTACTATAAGCCAAAGGAATTTTATATTTTGTTTGCTAATACACATATCTTTTTTATGCTTAGGTTCTTGCTCAATATTTGCATAGGCAGATTCTCAGCATACAATGGTGGTARCATTGAAGTAATTTTCCCACAGATAATTTTTGACCACTTAGACATATAAAATTCAAAATGCAAGATCAAATTGGTTTTCTTGTATTCTTCCAGAGGAAGCATTACTCAAATGTGAATACATTTCCAGCACAAAGATACTCAGATGAGGATGAGAGCACTTAGGATAATTATATGGACTTATAAGTATTAGGAGAAAGAAAAGTAACTGCAATATAACATGTAGCCCCCTTGTTTAGTGTGGTGGTGGCAGTGGGGAATCACTTTTAACTCAYCACCCTATATATACTCTATATATACTCTCCATCAAGAATTTCAGGGAGATGTTTGCTATTCAATTTCCTCCAACCCCTTCAGCTTCCCAAAGAATCATTAACTTCTTACTGTAGGATTTCAAATTTGAAAGGTTCAACCTTCCAGAGGCAGATGCTTACTTAAGCAATGAATGCATCAATATAATATAGCCAGTTGATTTCAAATAGTTCTTCCTAAATTCAGGCAGTACTCTTTCTGCTATGACCATTATTCCTTCTGTTCCTTTTCATAATAAAAGAAAACATTTACCCAGAGGGAAATAATGAAATTCACTGTACATCAACATGTTTTCCCAAAATCCAAACAGATTTCCTTTTAAATAAACATCTGTTTTCTCCCTCCATTATAAGGGTTTGAATCCAGAGACTTGCACATTTAAGACATGATCCTTAATGGGGTTGGTGTATGCATGTGTGTGCATATCTCTATGTGTGCTATATGTGGTGGGTGGTCACCAGAACAGACAGTGATATTTTCACTTCTCTTTTAGGTTAGTGCAATTCTAAGTGGTTGTAAACCACAGCAGAGCATTCCTCTTGTGTT